ATATATATATATATATATATATATTTATATATATATATATATATATATATATATATATATATATATATATATATATATATATATATATATATATATATATATATATATATATATATATATATATATATATATATATATATATATATATATATATATATATATATATATATATATATATATATATATATATATATATATATATATATATATATATATATATATATATATATATATATATATATATATATATATATATATATATATATATATATATATATATATATATATATATATATATATATATATATATATATATATATATATATATATATATATATATATATATATATATATATATATATATATATATATATATATATATATATATATATATATATATATATATATATATATATATATATATATATATATATATATATATATATATATATATATATATATATATATATATATATATATATATATATATATATATATATATATATATATATATATATATATATATATATATATATATATATATATTATTATTATTATTATCATTATTTTATTTATATTTATTTATTTTTTTTTTTGAGGGGGGTGTACCCCAGTAGAGCTTTATGTCCAGCCACGCCCCTGGTAGCCAGAATAACAAAGTCTACTAAAGGAAGCCGAGCCTTCTCATTTATGGCCCCTGAACTCTGGAATAGCCTTCCTGAGGCTCAGACACACTCTCCCAGCTCAACACTGGAGTAAAGACCTATCTCTTTAGTAAAGCACACACTCAATGCAGCACCTAGTGGACTTGACAAACCACCTGTAGGACACACTCCTCCTGTCCTAATGCACCAGGCGCTGTGTTAGCAACACGCAGATGCTTTACATGTTTGTTTATATAGCTGCTGCTTTCATTTAGAGCACTTCATTTTTGCATCTGGTGTTTAGATATTTGAAGCACACTGAGCTCTGAACACTGCACTGACACAGCTCCAGTTCACTACAACTCCTGTGTTCAGCTGCTGCCACACAATCTACAGGGTAGAGGCGCTGGAGAAACAGATGAGCTGGACTGAATTGATTGCCTTCGAGCCCAGAGGAGTCAACAGCGCTTCTGGACACTGTTAACATAGGGCTTTCTTTTGGCACAGCGCAGTTTTGACTGGCGTTTGTGGATGTGACTCTGTATTGTGGTGCTTGACAAAGGTAGTCCTGAGCCCATGTGCTGATCTGGCTTATAGATGAATGAGGACTCTTGATGCAGCGCCCCCTGAGGGGTCGGAGGTCACGGTTGTTCAGCTTAGGCTTGTGCTCTTGTTCTTTACGCACTGAAACTCCTCCAGATTCATTCTGTCTTTAATGCTGTTCTGCACTGATGAAGGTGAAATATCCACATGTCTTCCTCTCTATTCCGGTCACTGTTTCTGGAGTGTGCTGCAGCTCTGACTGACAGGAGAGGATGGAGATTCACACATGAAGTCAAGTAGAGCAGTCGAGTATTGTGTGTTCATATATCGTCTGCAGTCAAACACACGTCACAGTCAATCTGCAAATCTCTGCTCTCTTTCATTTGTGTTTTCCACACTCTGACAACTCTTCCTGATTTAGGGTTGTGTTTTTAACATTATTTTAAACACACACACACGCACGTGTTCTGTCTCCCGCAGGCTGACACAAACACATGTTTATTCTGCCGTCAGACACTACCTCATGGCTGTTTGTTCAAGAGACTCAAACACACTCATTTATTCCACTCAGATTCGTGGCCAAACGGGTAAATAAACACAGCCTGCGCCGCGCTCGCTTCCCTCACACTCTTACTGATGCTGTCGGCCTGACAGTGTGTGTGTTTGTGTGTGTGTGTGTGCTGGTTTACTGTTTTTTTCAGCAGACTTTATTCGTGGAGTTTTACAACATCAAACACTGTCCAGAAACACACACACACTCACACACACACACACACACACACACACACACATTCATACACACACTCACTAAGACGCACTTAGACACACTTTCGCAGACACACACTTATGAACACACACAAACACACACACGTGTGTCAGACTGGATTGGGCTCAGAGATTGTTTAATTTCCGCCTTTGATATGTTCAGACTGTGCTGCAGATTTCTGCTCGTCTGCTCCGGTTCCCTGGTTTTCTGTAATCCAGCAAAGCGATATCACATTTTATGGTGACTTAATAGTGCAACACACACACACACACACACACACACACACACACACACAGAGAAATAAAATATAACATCAAAATCACATTTCTGTAAAGCAGCAGCTCGTTTTTATGTGTCCGAGAGCAGCTTCTGCACAAACACACACACACACACACACACACACACACACACACACACTGCTGAAGATGAGGAAGATGATCAGAGTTAATCAGCAGAACAGATGCACTGTCAGACAGAGACAGAGGGGAGGGTACGATGATCTGCTGACCTTCATACAGAGACACAAACCATTTTAGGCACACATACACACACACACACCCTGAGCAGTGGTCATCATTAGCATGTGTGTGTGTGTGTGTGTGTGTGTGTTCACTCTCCGCCCGCAGTGCTTCACCTTTGCAGATGTTTACTGATGCGGATGGAGGAAGGTGCTGCATAAACAGGTCAGGTCTCATTCCCCTGGCTGCTACACACACACACACAGACTGACCTGCGAGCAAGGTGTGCACTAATGTGTGGAGGTCATGCGGGACAGCAGAGCAGAGCCTGTGCCTGTTTGTGTCTCACTCATAGAGGAGTGTGTGTGTGTGTGTGTGTGTGTGTGT